TATTTTTTTCCTATTTCATCCACTGCTTCAGTGTAGACTATGTATGTCAACAGGAGGGGTTCTCCCATTGGCATAAGTAATCCACTTCCCTGAGATGTCGTAGCTAGGGAGAGAGAAGAATTGTGCCTCTGTCTATGCAGGGGGTTAGGTCAGCATAGCTAAGTCTCAGGGTGTGGATTTTTCACACCCCTGAGAGATGTATCTATACCAGTGTAGACCGGCCCTCAGTTTCTCTGTGGTGTGGTTAAACTACCAGTACAACGGGAGTGTTTGTAAACTGCTTTGAGATACTTGGTTAAAAGGTGGATTCTTGCTTAAGAAGGCCAAAACTAACAAAATTTTGCTTCTGATTCTGCAGTCTTTGTCCAGGTAAAAATCCCATGAAGTTCAGTGGCAGTATTGCATGCATAAGAATGTGGGGCCCTTCCTTTTGAAAATATGAATTTAAGCTGAACATTAACTTTATTCTTCCAGTTATAGACATATGAAAAAATTATTTAAGTTGAACCATAGAAACCTGTGTAGAATTTGACTGAAATCTACAAAAACAGTAATGTACTGAATTAATGCCCAAAACTTCATCTGACACTTGCTTCACTGTGCTTAATTTTTGCAATCCTCTCCAGGCAGGAAGTGATTTTATTTGTGTTGCCGTACTTCAAGAGGGTGAGAAAGGAATTGAGTTTTTGACCTGAACTCTGAATTTTTCCTTGCTTTTGTGGGATTTAAAGTCAGACCATTTAACTTTCTGTATTAAAACCACAAGAAACTATAATCAACATAACATATGCCTGTTGTGTCAAAATCTGCCATTCTTATGTTAAAGAAGGGGGCCATGTTTAATGGCGAAAGCATAGGATAGAAAGTTCAGAAATCAAGCTTCTGTTCCTAGTTGTGTCAAGGACTTGCAGCGTGACCTTGGGTAAGTCACACAACCTATTTGTGACTGTTTCCTTTTTTTGTAAAATGGAGATATGACTTGCCTAACTCACGGGGGTGTTGAGTCTTAATTCACTAATGTTTATAAAGTGCTCTGAGATAGGCGGATGGAAGCTGCTATATAGAAGTGTAAATATTATTGATTTAGAATTAATGAAGGGGGAAAAAAGGGATCTCAGTCAGGATGTATCAATACTGAAGTGTGCTTGGCATGATCTTTCACTCACATTAAAACAAAGATTATTGCAAGTGATGTCCATGGAATAGTGTTATGCATTCACTGTAATCATAATTTTCAAAATATGTTGTTTAAAGGAAACCAAATTTATGAAACTAGATGAGTGTCTCCTTTTTTGCTATATATTTTTCATATTTATAAGCTACATGGTCATTATTAATCTTTGAAATTAAAGCTATTGCTCAATAAAGAGCAGGAGTATTGATGCTAATTAAAGCTCGATTTTGGAAGCCCTTCCATTCATGTATTGCTCATTTCAGTGGCAGTTTTGCATATGGAGGGACAGCAATAATCCTGTAATACTTTGCAGTAACTAAGTGTTAATTAATGCTCAATTACAGTGGAATTTTTCTAAAATTAGATCTTTCATTGACCCGAAATCAGAAAGTTGTTGTATTTAATGTTTAGTGACTGAATGTGAAAAGCATTAATGTGAATGAATATTGTGAAATCTACCATCTTTGTATCAAACCTCTTGCTCTGCAGAAGAGCTTGCACTGCAGGCATGTGTTGAGAGAGATTTTGTTTTTTAAATTTTTTAAAAAGAGAAACCTCTGGAGACATTGGTAGGTGGCTAATGAATATACTGTCTAAAGGATAGGAGTACTTGTGGCTCCTTAGAGATGAACAAATGTATTTGAGTATAAGCTTTCGTGAGCTACAGCTCACTTCATCGGATGCTGTAGCTCACGAAAGCTTATGCTCAAGTACATTTGTTAGTCTCTAGGGTACCACAAGTACTCCTTTTCTTTTGCGAATACAGACTAACACGGCTGCTACTCTGAAACCTGTCTAAAGGATGACAGTCAAGTACATGAGACCTTGTGATGCCGTGCCCAGATGGGCCTGCGACATGAAGTCCAAACCACACATCTATCATAACGAATTAGAAGGCGCTTACTTATATTGCTGAGATGGTGTCTCCACCTCCTGATTGCCATTTCAACTCTTCTGACTCACTCGAGCATCAAATCTGTCCGCGATCGCGGGACTTGCCCTCTGTATGCTATCAGTGCAGGGAGAGAGCACGGCTGGCATGGAAAAATTTTTTAGCCGACATTACCCATCCTGAAATGAGCCAGCTCACAGAGCAGGAGATGGGAGATTTCAAGAACAATGGTTCACTTCATTTTGTTCAATAATTTCAATTATTTTCTTTTCATCTTCAGAGTTATAGCAGGTCTTAAATTTTTACTAAATACTGTCTGCTGTACTCTTTGATGTAATCACCTATTAGGTGTTTCAGTGTAAATACTAGTTATTATGTACACGATGCCATAAATGTCCAGATATCTAAGGATGTTTCATTTCTAAAACAAAAAGAAGTTAGGGAAGGATGTTTCTAGATATAGGTTTGAATGTATAAACAAGTTGCCAGCCACCTGCTTTGTTGCCTTTATATTTACTCTGCCATGTAGATCATAAAAGCCATGTAAAGGCTCATACCTCAGAAACGTATTTGCACAGATAACAGGACATATTTTATCACATTTCATGTGTTTACTTGACCTATTTTTTTTGTCCCTACACACTTGTCCTCTGTGTTCAACCATATAGTTCTGTGCTTAATTCTGTCTAGGTGGAGGTGTCTTATGGAGAAAGAGAGGACAGCTTAAAAAAGTGGCAGCCAGGCAGACAATTTTTCGGGAATTGGACATCTGCATGTTCAGAAAAACTTAATGAAATTTTCCTGAATCCTTTTTGGTTTTATTTTGTGAATGTTGTGCCATTTGAAAAGGAACAGAAATAACTGGACACCAAAATATACATAATATAAATATATATAATCATTATCTGGGGAACACTACACAGCAGATTCAGGGAGGTGGTTCTTCCCAGTATTTAGCTTATCTTTTTCTGGTGGAGAAGGAAGAATTAGTGCATCCTTCAGGGGCACAAAGGATTTTTCTGCCAGAGAAATTTATAGCATTGACTAAGTATTTTTCATAGCTGCCAAGTGCTCTTTTTTATGTTTTTGGAAGTAATAAGGCAGGATTACAAACTATAAATTATTATAGTGGTCATTGCTCACTGGCTTGCCCACCCATTCACGCTGCATAATACTTTATGGAAAGTTATGTTTAATGTCACTTAATGAGTACTTAGGACCGAGTGCTCTCAAATGCTTTGATGGGCTGTTAAATTTACAAATGTCCTGCAGCTATAAATTACCATTAAAGATTAGCAGAAAGAAACAGAGTGCATTGCCATATATTTCACTGATTTACTTTAACTGGAAGGTTCTTCTCCCAGAACTGGAAATCCACAAATGAAGAGAGAGGATTTATCAACCATCTGTGGTGACTTCTGTTTATATGTACAGCGTAAATTCCCCCTTTTTTGGTGAATTTTGGCATGAGCCTCTTTATTTTGGGGGATTTTTCTGAGGAAGCATTTTAAAAAAATATTGAAATCATTACAAACCAGCAAATTAGAGTAAGTATAATTTCTGTAATTAATAGTACTACCCAACTGGGGTAGTCAATAGGTGGGTCGCGGGTCAAATCTGAAGCACCAGACGCTTTTGAACAGACCCCAAAATCTTTTTATTTACTTAATATCAATAATGTTGGTTTTTTTATTATCTTCTCTGGAGTCTGGACCTTTACTGTACCTTGACCAAGAAATTTGGACCTTGACAAAAAATAGATTACCCCTGTACCCAATCATAAGAGTAGATAAGAATATTTTTTATCACAGGCATAAAAAGAGGCAATGACTCTTATTCTCAGTCGTTATTTACTGTTTCTCCTAAATAAATAATGGTTTTAACCAACACAAACTAGGGGCTCAATTCTGCAAAATATCTACTTGTGCATATAGTCCTTACACAGGGACTTCACTAAGATTTACTACTCATGTGAAGAAGGGTTGCTTAGGTGAATAAGGGTTTGCTGGGTTGGTCCCAGGCACTTGTAGCTCAAGAAGTGGTTTGCAGCTGGAGTTTTAGGGACAATTTCTGGTGGAAATGTAGTGTCCCATCTTTTTGGAACAGAGATGTGTGTTTTTCCACATGTAAAAGAGAGTTGAGAAAGTGCAGATGACCTGGATAGAAGATGGAAGTAGGAAAAAGAGATGCATTGATTTAATTTAGGCTCCAAATTGTACATTTAAAAAAAAACACATTTATGGCAAATTATTCCCTGATTTATATACCCTTGGATTTCAGATGAGTTATACTGTGTATCAGTTAAGGATTTGGCCTCTTAGGATATTTTTACCACCTCCATTGCTCTTGTTTTCCCCACTCCTCCTGCAAAAGACTCTTTCCTTTCCACTGGTTTTAATAACTGCACAAAGTTTTGGAAAATTGATTGCTACCAAATTTGTACTGAATGAAAAGTGCGTATGGGCAACTTAATTAAGGAGTAGCAAGAGTGCGCTCCTGTATTTATGTCAGATGATAATTGAAGACCACCTGGTGACAACAATTTTGTAAATATTCTTTATTGCTGTAGGTTTACAAGTGAAAACCAGTGAAACCACTGTGGTATTTAACTGTAGAGATATTTGCAAAATCAGCCTACTCTGAAGAACAGTGCTGTGGTTTTAAATGTAAAAGTAAAGATTACAATTTCTTCTGAAATTTACCACAGTGAGATGCTTTTGGGATGAACTTTTCCTTTTCAGAGATCCAAGAATACCATTTTGAAACTCTTCTTTTGCATATTGATAATGTTGCACCAATTGCTGTTCTCCCCCACATCCCTTCCCATCCCCTATGCATCATATGGAAGTAGATTTAAAAATGTGTGAATGGTTTTTAACTTCATTTTTGTTTCTTAGCTCTGATATACATCAGAGCTGCTGGACTAATACTTACAGCCATGACCCTCCATTTACCTCCATGACCTGTATGTACTTCCCAGGGCAGCTGATATGGAATCACAGACACGATGTAACCTTTGGAAATAGGATATATAGCAGGTAAATTTATTCCTGATAATTATTTATCAAATAACGTTAGTAGAGGATGTGGAGCAGAAATTAATGGTTAAAATACTATGATTACTGATTTGCACTATGTTATATTTATAGTCCCATTGAAATGAAAATGCTCTGTGGTTCTTGTCCCAGGTAATATTTTTCAAAGTTTTTGTATATCACAAAATACACACAAAATATATTCCTCCTGCTTCTGTGCCCTCTAGTAAGTCATATTTACTGTCTTCAGAATAGGTTTGAAACAAAAATAAGGTTTAGGAATTTTGTAATTGCTAGTATGTATGTTAATTATGTGAAGGATATGTCACATACATCCTTCTGTGTGTTTTATGCTACCTGTGCTGTGTAATACCACTGTTAAATTGAGGAACAGCACAGGTTAGACACTGTACTACTGTTGAATCAGCTGTATGACATGCCTTTCACTTTATTGGTGTATGGTACATGTTGCAAAATGCAGCAACTCCTTTCAGATTGGAAAATTAGTAATTGTTTATGATGAGCTAGCTATACGTTCTAAAGTCTTAACAAGAATATTGTACACATATTAGTCTTCCCCCAAAATTTGACACGTCAAAAGATGATGCCAAATGTACTTTCAGATATATTTCATAGTTTATTCAAACTGAGAGTTACTTATTTTCTTTTGACAGGTTTCAGAGTAGCAGCCGTGTTTGTCTGTATCCGCAAAAAGAAAAGGAGTACTTGTGGCACCTTAGAGACTAACGAATTTATTTGACATAAGCTTTCGTGAGCTACAGCTCACTTCATCGGATGCATTCAGTGGAAAATTCATCGGATGCATTCGGTGGAAAATACAGATGTAGTGAGCTGTAGCTCACGAAAGCTTATGCTCAAATAAATTCGTTAGTCTCTAAGGTGCCACAAGTACTCCTTTTCTTTTCTTTTCTTTTGTCAGACTGCTGGTCTAAGGAAAATGGGTACAATTATTTTTTATGGAGCAGGACAGATGTGGAAACACACCAATATATTCAGAGAGTTTTATGCTACTGTTACTCACACCTTCTTGTCAACTATTTGAAATGGGCCATCCTGATTATCACTACAAAAGTTTTTTTTTCTCCTGCTGATAACAGCCCACCTTAATTGATTACTCTTGTTAGAGTTGGTATGGCAACCCCCATTTTTTCGTGGTGTGTGTGTGTGTATATATATTTATATCTCTCTCTATATATATCTTCCTACTGTATTTTCCACTGCATACATATGATGAAGTGCGCTTTAGCCCACGCAAGCTTATGCTCAGATAAATTTCTTAGTCTCTAAGGTGCCACAAGTACTTCTCGTTCTTTTTGCTGATACAGACTACCACGGCTACCACTGTGAAACCTGAGATACTGCTGAGTATGTGCAAGATGAAGCTAGGGTGTCTAGACCCTATGGTAGGACAAGTAGTAGTAGTAATTAATGTTTTACTGGCTGATATTTAAAAGGTTCATGTTTAGGTTCACATATTAGTACTTTTAACTGACTAAGAAATTATTGTACTGTGAGGGAACCCTCAATTTCTGCTCTACCAAGTAACTTTCTGCATGCTGTCATGCAAGTAACTTTAACTTCTCTTTGTGATCCCATTCATAAAACTGGGATTAAAAACAACCACCTTTGTAAACTGCTGTGAGAGCTACAGATAAAAATAATTAAGTGATACTTTATGTAGGACTAAATTAAAATAGGCCAATAAACATAATACATTTAGTAAACATTTTTTTTATAAATGGGTACTTTCTTTCAGATACACACATACAGGTACACCTATCGAGTACCTGTCAGCAGAGACTAGCGAAGATGAGTTATTCCAAACTCAGTTATAAATTTGCTGCCTCCAAAATGTGTGTGAAACTGAATATGTACATTATGGAGCATCTTTACTTTTATTTCCTAACCACCAGCTCCCCATTCCTCATGTCTTCATGACTGTCTTTGTGTCCTGAGTCACTAATGTGGAAGGGGATGGTGAAAATTGAATCCCAGACTCCGTTGAGTAGGGTAGATTGTGGCCAAATCTGAATGATGTCTGGAGACTGCTAATGCAAACAAGATTGCCCGGTATCAACCTTTCTCCTGAAATCTGCAACACACGTCCCAGAAGATTGCTGTGTCAAATTTGGCCCATGACTTTCAGCAGCTTTACTTGATAACTCTCAGACTTCTTGTGAAAAAGTTCCTGTTGACAATTAAGCTCTCATCAGCTTTATTAAATTACATTTCTGTGCAAGTGTGGTAGATGGTTTTTTTGAAAACAAATAGTGGTTTGTTTTCAATGGTGGCAAAACAGTGGAGAGTTTACCTTTAAAAAACAAACAAACAAATACTCCTCCCCCCCCTCCCTTTTTTTGTTTTGTTTTTGACTTAGTCTAGTGGAACTTACAGCTCTTGCCACAGCTAGGAATAATGCAGCAAAGATAAACCGCATAGTGCACTTTTGTTGATTGCATCTCAAGAAAAGTGAGGTTTTGAGTGATGGGCTGGGAGAGTATTTAGTCAGATTTCATGTAAGAACAGCATTTAAAGTCCAAGTACTGGAGAGTTGGTGAGGGGGGGAGGGAGGTTGTCCCTCCTTTAGAAATTTGAGAGGAAAAGATATAGACTTGTGCAGTTCAGTGACGATCTAATCTTTTTGAATTCATTGCTTGTGAGTTGTTATTTCTAATCACACGCTTGATTGGCTCCAGCTAAATGACTCGGACTGAAAAGGCAGGGTGTTTAAATCTAAAACTGCAAGTACATATTTTAACTGAAAATAGGGATCATCATGGAATGTGTTCTCAATCAGTGCTTGACACCCCACTGAATATATAGTTAAAAAAGAAAAGAAAAAGAAAGTAAACTGTGCTGTCCTTGGGCAGGAACAGAGCGTAACAGACTGTGATTGAGCTCTGAGGAAGAAAATGAAACTCAGGAGGGTATATCGAATGATAAAACTGAGCTCTTTGATGCCATGCTATATATAGTTAACAGGCCACTTTACTCTGACAGGAGAGTCAGGTGCCCCTTAAAACTCCTTGCTATGATTATAGTGTCATTATGAGGTTTCAAAATTTTTTTTTTACAATGGAATTGCTGATTACAACAAAATGTGGCTACTTGGGGATATTATTTATATTGGGAGCAAACGCGGGGCACAATTTGGCCAAGCCATTTCTCATATAAATTGTTCTTACTCAAAGGAATAGTCCAGGTCTCCTCAATGAGAGACTCCTGAAAACAACCATGTGGGATCAGTCCCAAATTTTTTATGATCGCGTATTCCAACTACGTGCAGAATCATTGAGGTAACTGAAAAGCTAACTTAATTTGGTTTTGGTACAACAAAAAAATAAATCAAGAGAAGGAAGAATCTTTTAAAACAAACAGAAGAGTTATGCTACCTGCAGATCTCCTTTCCACAGTTATTGCAAAATTTTCTTTTCCTGTGGTTCAGACATCTAACTTGCCACTTCCCTTTGCCTTTTAGTACACATAATATGTTCATATACTGAGGTTTTAATACAGAGAGCTCTTTGTAATTTTACAGTTTAACAGTAGCCCTTTTCTTAATTTTCCTACAAATTTTATGATAAACTAAGTACTTCTAATCCTTACACTATTGTGTGTGGTTTGTGTGGACATCCAAAACAGTATAGGGAAATCAAATAGTATGTTTGAACAAATGATTTTGAACAAATAACTAATTTGGAATTGTTAATTTCACATAAAAGTGGAGCTGACAAAGTGACTAATATCTACAAGGCATAACTGTAAAGTCTTTTATTTTTAAGAAAGGAAATACGATGGCAGTCATTGGAGATAATAAATCTAAGCATGTCATTCGTTTTGGTTATTTTAGGGCCAAATCATAGTCCCATTTAAGTCAATGATAAAATTGCCATTGACTGCAATGATTTTGACCCTTTTGAAAACAAAGAGAGTCAAACATTTCTAATAAATACATAAGTGTGCCAGACATGTTTAAATGTTCTGTTCAGCATATGTGAAGTAAAAACAGACATGATCAAATTGTAAAGAGTAGGCAATTTTAATTTCCTTTGTGAGTTTTGAGATTAGGATGATTTCTGTCTAGATAAATTAAAGTATTTCTACATGTTAAAAACAAATATGTGATTTTTCTCTCGCTTGAGTGACATTCGGAATACTCATCATAGAGCATTTACAGCTTTGTACATGTGAGCATTTAGGTAAAGCTTTAAAAAGGGAAGGAAATATGGAATGTGTTTGTGTCCGCATGTAGATTGTGTAGTACACAAGTTACTCTGAGATTTCAGTTAATCTTTTTATGAAGGTTATCTGATAGTGACCATGGACAGGTGTTGGAACGGCTGTCGGGTCCCCAGGGATCAGAAGGTTAGACAAACTGCCCCTAGAATTTGAACAGGGCAGTTGTTTCATGTCAGTTTAATTATCCTTATGTTTTATGAGACAGTCGGTCAAGTCATCTGGAAATCTTAAGAAATCGGAGGCTTTCACAGCTCTGAGGGCAAAGTTCTGATTGGGTTTGTTTGATAATCATTTTCTTTGTGATACTCTTAATGCAAGTGGTGGGCTGATAAAACCACAAGGCATTCTTAGTGCCAAAACAAAATTTAATCAAGATGGTATCATTCAGTGAGAAATGCCTTTCATTCCAGTTTTATTTATATGAATTTAGTCCATAACTCAGTATATCCGCTTGGGGTCATTACTTTGATTATAATTTAGCAATTTAACTCCTGAAGTGCTTCAAATAAAAATATCCTTGAAGGAATAATAAGTTTAAATAGTGCTGAACTGGTAGAAAATAGTTTTTTAATTTAGTTCAGACTGGGAGCACAAACTGCCAGGAAAAAAGAGACAAAGTATAAAATATATCACACTGTGCCATGCAGCCACAAAACTTAACAGGGGGAAGGTTCATTTTTCCTCCTTTCTAGCACATTTGCATTAATAAATACCCAATGATAATACATAATAAGTAATAGCCCAAATAATATTTTTGTTTGTTTGTTTGTGGCTTTGATTATACAGATCTCATTACTAATACTGGAGATTTAAAAATGTAACTATGACATCCTAAATTAACAACTTAGTTACTAAATGGGGAAAAGACATTTTAACATAAATAAAAATAAAAATCTCTAGTCATTTCAACCAGCCCCATTGCTTTTATAAAGCACTTGAGATTTTATTTTCATTAGCACTGAGAGGCACTTTGAAATGAGTAGCTAGAAAATAAACTGAGATAATTCAAGTTTATATTGTTGAGTTAATAAAACTAATAAAATCTGAACATTTCCCAAGGTTTTCCATTATTACTATTTAATTTTTTTTATTGCAGAAGAAAATTGTTAGGTTTATATAGTCTAAGGCATTATGAAAAATTCCTCTTCCTATTTTATGTTCCTTTATGACTTGTTGAAGAAAATGAGTCTTGTTTTGCAGCTTGTGAACAAGGAAATGCGTTCTTCAGCGGTTTCGGCCGGGTTGGGTTCATCATTGCACGTTGCCTCTTGGTGTGTGCTTGAAGGTTCAATCCTTTAGCAGTTATTCCTCTAAGAGGATTCTGGGATCTTAGTGCAGATTTTACAGTCTGGTAAACAGAAAATGTATTCTTTTAGCAGCTCTGTTCCTTTAGCAGCTATTCATTAAGTAGGTTTCAGTGTATTAATACAGTGACTGATAGGAACATCAGAAGTTGTGCCTTCACATAAGGATGTCTATTCGCTCCTTCTCTGTACCGCTTCGCTTTGCCATGCTGTGGGTTTACTTTTGTCTTGTGCCGCTGCACAATTTTTTAAACAAGTCTCCTTCTCTTTTCATCGCTGACCTCCCCCCCTTCAAATACCTATCCTTGCAGAGTAGATTTGCTCAGACTTGACTGTGCTGAGGAGGTGAAAGGTCCTTGCCAGGCGGAAATGCTGGAACAGATTTTTAAAATAACGTAGATCATTTATCTAACAAAAGTTGACTTTGCCTTACCATATGCCTGCCTGCCTTCTATTTATTTGGACCATTGCCCTGTAATGTGCACTTTCTAATAACAAGAAGCCTTCTCCTAATCTCAACAAACAGTCTGGGAATAGACCAAATAATTTGGAAAAACTGTCTAAGAGCTGTTCAGCCGTAACTCACATGTTGTACCTCCGGTATTGATGTAGCGTAATCCCCTTATTTTGCCATTGGATATATTGCATTATTCCAGGTGGAATTTTTTTCAGTTCCAAGTTATGTTGTAATTTGCATTCATTAATTGATTCTTAGTACAACTATGTGACACTTAGCTCTGAGTAAATATCAGACGTGACAAAAAAGATGAATAAGTTAATGATCGTGAACAGTGCAGAAGTCTGTGTAATAAGGCCCAGTTGAGTTTTTGATATGACATAAAAATGCACATATGCAACCAAGTATTTGAATGATCTGAAAATCCATTAAATGTTTCTTAGGGAAGAGAAAAAAAAGAAAAGCTTTTGGTGACTTTTGTGACTAAGTTCACGTTAGGATTTTCCAGACTCTTGGTCATTTTCTCTCCTCTTTCTTTTACTTCTGTATAATTAGTAATTTGAACATAATATAAAGCCTGCTGCAATATGGAGTTGCCTTTATTTTCTGTCAACAGACTAGTAAATAAGAAATCAAACTTGAATTCATATTACATCTAATTTTTAGTACTCAAAAAAATAAAAGTTACACCTTTAGATTTAATTCAGGGGATAAAAGATGGCAGAAACATTTACAGAGCATAATTTGTCTTTCAGAATGCCCTCATTTTGATTGTGCCCTGCCCTTCATCATACCCACAATTGAAAGCAGATGCTGAGTGAAAGGGAAAAATTGAAAGAGGGTTTTTGCTTTAATTAAGAAAAATATCACTTACTGATATAGCTGAATGTTTTGCAATATGAATTGATTGTTGTTGTGGTTGTGTCCTTTGTTACTTTCCTGGAATCAAGATGGAATCCTGCACAAAGGCTTGGCTCAGGAGGAGTGAGACATCAAGTAGAGATAATTTCATTTCTGTGTCAAATCAATAGAGCAAGATAACTTCCTCATATTTTTGTGCATGCCAATATTAGTTCCCACCCCCTGATTTCAATACAAAAGGACTTTCAGATTTGATTTATTGTTTTCACCAATCTTTCCTCCCTTCCCCGCATTTTGCTTTGTTTAGAAGCAGATCAAGTCGGTAAAGAGTTAATTTCCGGTGAATACGAGACAGGAGTTCTTCCATGGTATTTCGTGCTAGGTTTCGTGTCTGTCACTGCCCCTCTTTCATGCTTCTGTGAGTATGGAAATGATTTGAGACAGAAAATTGTTGGAGTGGGCAAATGGATAAGTGCCCAGGTCTTGTGACCGTGCATTGCATCATCAGAAGTGTCTCTGTAGAACTCCTCTGGTATTCTTGGCACGCAATGCGCAGAGGGGATGAGATCGAGAGAGCACGGATCAAAATCTGCACTTCCAGAAAATTCCTTGCTCCTCAAACAGCCCCCAAACTTCACTTCCGAAATCCCCCCATCAGTTTAGTAAGTGGCAGGATTGCTGTAGAAGTGCCAGGCAGTACAGCAATAAAATGTGAATAACACGAACAGTTGGTCACATAATTGTGTTAATTGTTTTTTGCTCTTAATGGTCTTAGATTTTGTATAAAATGCTGTGAGTGTTGCCTTGAAAATGATAGGGTTGTGTGTGTGGATTTTTTTTTGTTTGTTGTTGTGGTTTTTTTTTTTTTTTAAAGTTTTCAGTATGACTCTAACTACTGGATAATGGCTCATATTTTTTCCAGTGCCCTAAACCATCCCTCTCAAAAAAAAAAAAAAAAAAAAAGAAAAGAAATTATATCAGGAAGAAACTCACCCACAAAGTAATAAGAAAGGGAATCATTGTGGCATCTCTCGTGGTAAGACAGGAAAGGTAACCTCCGTAGCCCAACAACTTAAGGGACTAGCCCAAATAGCTAGCTTTAAAATACCATGGCATGGATGATGTAACACATTTATTAGCGCCTCTAAATTGACTGTTGTACTCTCGGATCATCATGAGGAGGAAAGGAAGCACATCCCAAAGGTACTACGATCAGCAGAAATTCACAATAAATAGTGTTCTCTTGATGTGCCTGAAAACTGTAGAATATAGTAATAGTATTGTTAGTAAAACAGAAAAAACTGATGTCTTTATAGATGCACAAAGTGGTGTGATTTCCGTGAGAGGAGCTCACCCAAACTGTGCCGTATCCTTTTATAAATAATACCATTGTGCTTTGTGGTGATCGGAACACTTAGCTATCTGTCTGTATTAAAACTGGAAATAATAGAACAGGGTTCTATTTTGAAGAGCAGACTTTTATTATTATTATTATTTATTATTCCCATCCTGTTGGGTATTATCTATCCTTGCTTCTTAAATGAGAGGTGATCTTGCTGATGAATAAAATCAAAAGCTAATACAATTTTTTACTTATTCAGATTCTTCCATCTTTTTGGTTTTGTCCTTTTGGAAATAATAAATTGGGTTTGTTATCATGACCTTTCAAGGTGTTCAGTTCAGTCATCTGTTAATCAACCAGTAGGTGGAGGAATGGAAAAAAAAGGTGGAATATAGACAAGCTTCATACTTGTAAGTCTCCCATAGCCTTGAATAAAGTGCTGGACGAGGAAGAAATGTGACCAAAAAATATTCTAAATGATACTACTCAAGGTTAGCTGCAGTCGCCTACATGCTGACAGATAGCTGTTCCTCCAGTGATTCAGCACAGCAGTCACGCTGCATGTTGGGAATATTTGGTATGTGTGGTTGGTTTTTTGGGGGAATGTCTTGGTGTCTCTGGCTGCTTGCTCAGTTCAGATTCGTTCCGCTCAGGAATTACTTACCTCATTTCAACTTGAACCTGCCACTCCTGCAGCTCATGTTATTAACACAGACGGACAGATCAAAGGAGACAAAGCCCCAGGAAGAGGGAAGTAGGGTAGCTCTAGTTGGCATAAAAGACCATTAGTTTTAATTATTAGGTTCTTTTATGATGCAACTTTAATAATGGAAAATGAATCGCTTTAAATAAGCAAATATTCTCAATGTTGAATTATTACTGTTTTTAACAAAATTTGTGTTTTAGATTGTATGCAGACTTAGAACCCAATCCTGAAAACACTTATGAATGTGGTTTTACTACAAATAGCCTTCTCATCCACGTCAATAGGAAGACTCACGCTAGTACACACTATTCTCAGTAGTAAGCATTGTGGGATTTGGTCTATAGGAACTGCTTATAAAATGGTTCAACCTTTAATGTATGGAACATGACTCAAGAAATTTTGAATAGGAAGCCATGCTTGGCAGGTATCAGCACATATAATTGTAGCTGATGGTAATTTTTTTTCTTCTTCTTCACAATTAGTCCGTGTTTTGATTAAAGATAAAGTCATAATTTTCATTAGAAACTGTCTTTATTGTTACAGTTTATAGAGTAAGAATCACACTCTGGATGGAGGGAACTATCTGATCAGAGCCAAATGCAAAGAGAAGGAGCTAAGAGCACAAGGAGACAGAGCAAAGCTGTGCCCATGGAAGAATAGGAGGGTCAGTGCCTGTTTCTAGCAGTGCAGACAGATCCGGCCTCATCCTTCCTCACCTTCAGTAAGTGCCAAGGGGACACAGCTAGTTCCCTTTAAAGCTAAAAATGTCTCCTCTACAGAGCTATAAAAATAGACCACATTCTCCAGTCATTGTGAGCCCTTGATAGTGGTTACAAGTTGAATATAATTGTGCTGCTTCGCTTTACTGCCACACTGTGGAGAAAGAAGCCAAACTTTGGAAGCTTTACTACATTTTTCACAGCATGGTAGTAAAGCAAAACGATGCAGCTGTATTCCAATCACAACCTGGATTTGCGTTTTTGCCTGCTAAAAATAAGCAGCTAGTGAAGAGATCCCCAAGATTCAATTTCACATCTGGAACGGGAATCGATATGTTGCTCTTCCCCCAAACCAGGCCCCCTGCCCTTATACTATTGTAAATCAATACAAGAGAAATTAATTTTGATAAAAACACATTATTAACTGGGCAGATGAGACCAGATTACATGCACCACAAAATTTGAAAGTGTTCCTGGATGAGATAGGAAAAGTTTCAGGTTTTGAGAAGCACATTTTTGAGGCAACACTTCATATAGTAATTGGAGGCCAAAGGATGAGAATCCGATATTGTCCGGCACACCACAGATTCAGTAATGGCTCTGAAATCTCTTCTGAAAGGAAAGTAGATTTAGATTAAATCTCAGGAAAAACTTCCTAACTGTAAGAACAGTAGGACAATGGAACAGACTGCCTAGGGAGCTTTTGGAAGCTCCTTCCCTGGAGGTTTTCAAAAGGAGGCTGGATAGCCATCTCTCTTGGATGGCTTAGAGACAACAAATCCTGCATCTTGACCGGGGGTTAGACTAGATGACCCTTGCAGTCCCTTCTAACCCTATGATTCTATGGTTCTATGTTCATAAGCGAGGGAGAGAGAGAGAGAGAGAGAGAGTGCTCTGACCAGATCTATATGGAAAGAGCCCTCTTTACTACTTGAGCCTTGGATCCCTGCCAAATTAGTTTTCTGTAACGAGCCAGACAGATTTAGTGAATGACACATGTGTACTAAAGCCTGATTGTTTGTTAGTAATTCAATTTTAAGAGTAATTCAATTTTCACTGCTGTGTGCCTGCATGTATCTTGCCTTACATCCTACAAAGTAGCAGCAGCAGCGATACATGTGTTGGTTGCTTTGTTGACTTAATAGTATCGGGATCAGTTTTGGCTCAGTGATGCTCTGTTTCTTCTTGTGCCGCATTTTATTTAAATAAAGTCTCCCCCCAAAAACAATACAGCTTAAAGGTCTGAGGAAGATGGATCATTGGGACTGCAAGGCCTGACAATTAATCTGCTTTTGTCCTTTTTTTTTTTTGGGGCAGGCTATATGTAACATAGCAGCCTGCTCTAGTTTGCTCTCAGGTGAAAGCTGTTCATTTTAGCATGTGTAAAGGTGGCTTCCCATTTAACACACAAGATTTATTTGTCCTTTTCTCTTTCTCCTCTTCTTTCTTCAACCCCACTCTCCCAAATTTCCAGTTTTGGTACTATAAGCTGGTAAACTCAAATTCTCTTTTTACATTTTACATGGTGAAGTAATTATCGGTCTTTTTAAAATAAATAGGCAGTATTGGCTGGGAAAAATACATATTTAGTCTGCCTTGAGACATGTTTTTGCAGGCATTGATCTCTAGGTACCCAGCTCCCCCGTGAACATTTGGGTGAATAAATAAATATGGCATAGATGTTATCTGCAAACCACTAAGATTTTGTGAACTTGTGGCATAGCTCAGTAGGCAGGTCTTGTTGTCTCCCTTCAGTCAATCCAGTATTTAATTAAATGCGTGGTGAAGTGCTTTGTAAAACCTAGATACTATGGTGATTGGCACCATATAAATACCTAGGTCTGATAGGTGGGAGTGCAGCTTTTTTCCCCCCTGCATATTTACGTGAAAACCAGTATCTGAAGCTCTTTTTCCCAGAGTTCTCCCTTCTCTTTATAGGGCACAGAGCTGAAACATTTTCTTGACTTTAGACTCTTGATTCAAAAACACATTAGGGCCAAATTTTGTAAAATTCCTCTTGCTTCATGAGAGTAACGATATGCAGGGTAGTAAAAATGAAGCCCTTAATTTGGTGCAGAAACATTCTTTTATATTACATATTTCTCCTTGCTAAGAACATGCATTTCCCACGCAGATCCCTGAAGGGAACAATAGGATCGTGGGTTTAATTAACCCTCCCAAAATGGAAGTTAGGGGAAGAAAATGTGCACATTCATTTTGGGGGAGGTTTTCAAGAACATTAAGGGATTTAGGAGCACAGTGTAAAGTGAAGCTTTTGAAAATCTTCCCCTTTCCACTTACGTTGCACTAATTTAATATTACAGTAACCGCTGTGTTATCCAGCACTTTACCAACTGGAAAGCTCTATAAACCAGCATTTCTGATCTTCAATAGGGTTGACAGGTATCCGATTTTCAACTGGAAAGTCCGGTTGAAAAGGGACCCTGGCTGCTCTGTTCAGCACCGCTGATCAAGCCATGAAGAATCAGGTTGGCACCGGGCTGGCAGGCTCCTTACCTTGTGCCGTGTGGTTCTCCAGAAGCAGCAACATGTCCCTGTTGCTCCTACATGGAGGAACGGCCACGGGGGCTCTGTGCACTGCCCCCATCCTATCCTGCCTGAGCACTGGCTCTGCAGCTCCCGTTGTCCGGGAAC